TACAAGGATCTACAAAAACAGTATCTGAAAGGTATCGAATTTTTATGTTTTATTAAGAATTTCATTATCTATCCCCTTCATATTTTATGTTAATACTTTGCTATATCATATATATTTTTCTTCAAACTATTATTCTATATCATATAGTATTTTGCATTTTGTAGACAACAATAAACAAAATCAAAAAAAAGGAGATCCCACGAAATCTGCACAACGGAATCGATTGGTGTCCTCAGAATCAGCTCTAAAAACCGTGAAACAGATTCAAAGAGCAATTAAATCAACGGGTAGTGTTGGTGAATTTGTGATTCCCGTCTTGTTAGAAGCAGGATTTTTGGTTCCGATAGGGAAAAAGTAATCTTTATTATATTTGAATAAAAAAAATGCTTATTCTTTAAACTGAATGAATCTCTATACAAAAAAAATTATATAGAAAACGTGTCACGTCATCAGAATTCGCTCTAACAGACGAGTTAATACAATTATGGGCGCCATTACTACAAAAATTCGACGAGTTTTTTGATAATTTTGGGAATGAATTAATTCAGGGGATATCGGAAAAATTAAATTTTGACGTCTTCGAACAAGTTAATATGACGTTGAGTCATAGTTATTTGATGACTTTAGGTGAGCATTAATAATATTTGTGTTTCTATATGTGTGTCCTATCTGATCAATAAATTTGTATTGGTTTTATTAGTTTCTTGGATCCAATACATCTTAAATATATATTATGATGATGAATTCAGCTCTACATTTTTTAAAGATATTAATATAGACAGTATCTTGGAATTTTGTTTACGGAAACCTAATCCATTGTAAGCGTTTTTCTCAAAAAGAACATTTAAATTTGACTTTCATATAATTTAATTAACAAATATCTAATTGGGATATGATTATATTGAATTTAGCACGAGAATTATACTCCAATATTTGATTGAAAAAGATGACGATAATAACTCAGAGTTGAAATCAAATATAGCACCATTTCTTAATTACATTGATAGACTTTTAGAGATTGGGAAACAAATTAATATCGTATGTTAGTTAATAATCTAATTCTGATTTGAAATATCTTTTATTGACAATCTATCATATTACTTCTTATAAATGAATAAGACTCAACGATCTGATAAGCATTCAACACAACAACAGCTCACGGACCAAGAGATGAATGATATGTTAAAAAATTTGGAGAGACAATTGAAGGAATCAACAACACGTCTATCGGTTGAAGAGGTAAGATTGTTTATTTATATATACTCGTTATTATGACCAAATAATAAATTTTTTGAATGTCATAGTAAAAACAAAATTATTTAATGAATAGGACTGTATTTATATATATAAAAATTGTCAAAATCACCGATACTTAATAATAATAATTACCTTTATTTATTAGACGACGATTTCAGATGATCAAACTTCAAAAATGGTTTCCACTTTTTCAGCGTGGACATTATACGATCACGAGAAATGGCAACCATGCCCGATCGGATGTTTGCCAAACGGCAAAGTGGCGTGTTTAGATTTACCTTTGGAACTTGATGATCAATAAATAAATTTATCATAACTTTATATAATGCCAAATTTTAATTTCCGAGAATCACGTCTATTGTTTCATTACAATCTAGTCAAATTTGTAAGATGATGATCTTCTAAATAAATATAAATATCACGTAAAAAATTCTCGATTGTTATCAAATAATGTCACTCACTCGGAACGCGTTAAGGAGAAACAGACAACCAAATAATAATCCCGTTGAACAAGAAGACGACGAAATTGCACCATTTATCCCAGCAACTTTTATCAGTGCACCCACACAGAGACTTTGTGCTCTATCTTTTTACATTTTAGTTTGGAGTATAAAGTTATATCATATCTTTATCGACAACGAGTCTTTTACCTGGGCTTTAATAGTCTGTTGTTTTGTGAATTTCGTGTACTTTGCGGTACTATGGAGTTTGCAAATACCTTGGCTTCAGTTTCGATTCCGGTTTCTGGTTTTTTTCATCACAATATCTTGTTTGGTTGACTTAACTTTACTTTATCCGCGTTGGGCATGTATTATCTCTCTATCTTCTCTCTCAAAGTTTATATTCATTGAATAGCATTTTTGAGAATTTATGTTAAATAAAAAAGCCAATAGATGTTGGTCTAACCGCACCAATGACAAACTTGTCCAGTTGGACATCAACCTTTAGTAAGTTTGCTCTACTATTCAATCCTTTCTCTCCTTTTTGCTTCTTTAAATGGGCTGAAAGATAACAACTACATCCCAAGCAAGAGTATCATCATTCCCATTCGGCTTGCTACTGTGTGTACATCCAGATTTTAAGCTCATTATTCACACAATACAATAAATGGTTAATTAGTCCGACAACAATACGCTAGATTTTGGGGAAACAAAGTTCGCGCTGTCAGTTCGGAAGATACGGTCAAAATTAACGGTAATATTGAATCGTAAATTGCGCCACTCTTTGAAACATTCATGCTAATCTCTCATATCACTTTAGAAATCAGATATAATACCTCGCACATAAAAGGAAAACATACAGTTAGATATTTGCCTTATGCCACAGCGAAATTGAATCCTGATGATCTAAAACTATGTTTACACCGAAAAAAGCAGCAACCCTCTAAAAAAACAGTTGGCTCAAGTGTTAACTTGCCAATACTCTTTAACAACACTATACCAAAGACCATAGAGTATTCGCGTATTGACACTGAAACGGGAGAAAAAATTTTGTATAATTTCACAAAGCGAGACATTGAAAAGCATAGGGTGATTGATAAAGCCATGAATATTGCTTATGTGTATATTCCGGTGCAACTTCCAGGCGTGTATCGTCTAGAACAGGTTTGGGATTGGCACTGGATGAATATAAAAATTTATCGAAAAGAAGAGATTATAGCGTATTGTCCGGTTGCAAAATTTTCATCTAAAGTTGATCAGCATCGATGTGTCAATGATGAGATTCCTGTGGATTTGATATTGGAGGGTATTCCGCCTTTTAGTGTGTATTATGAACGTATCGTAGATGACATTGCAGTAAATATGACTATTGATGGTGTGACGTCCGAGAACACCATCCTGGGCTCTCATCCAGATCAAATTACTGGTTATCAGTGGGCACGTGATCGTCTTGTCCATGTTCCCTTAACGTTAACAACAGATATTCCCGCTCAATATTCTTTAAAAATATTGCGAATTCGGGATTCTCTTAATAACACGCAAACTTATGAAAAAGAGGAAAGTATTCAACCTTCTATCGAATTTACAGTTCATTCACGTCCTTCTGTAAGTTTTCTATCTGATATAACAATTAAGATTAAGCCTGGTGATTCTCCCAACATTGCTATGGAATTAAAAGGCCAAGGTTTTTATTACATATTTCCATGATCTAATTCTTATTTTTGATATTTTCTGACTGCTACTCTTAAATCAAACATATACTTTAAAAGAACCTTGGCGAATTCTTGTTGGGTACTGGGCAGAAGAAACTGCACAAGATAATAATTTGGCGATGAATACTAGCGATACTATTGAATATATCTTGGAGAAATCAACTGATGATATGATCAATGTAAAGAAAGCAGGACTATACAAGTTGCTTTCCGTCTCAGATGCTTTTTGCTCTGGACAGGTTTTAGCACCTTCAAATATTATCGTATTGGAAGTACTTCCACCTTCTGTGATACTCGATACTATCCCAATATCAACAGGCGATTGTCCAGGCGAGATTGGCCTTGAAGTAATCATGACCCTCACAGGATCGCCGCCATGGTAAATTTACGGTGATTATTATATAGCTCTCAAAACAGAAAATCTTCATTAAATGATTATTTATTTTTTAGGTTGCTTGAATACTCAATTGTGCATCAAGGTCAAGAAAGAAATGTACCAGTACAGATATTCAAAGCGCGTCACTCGTTTACCATAATGCCAGAAACATCTGGTCAGCATGATTATCAGTTCAAACGCTTGAGTGACTATTATTATCGAGATGGCGTGGAGATTGGACGTATTATATCTCAGGTTGTTCATCCTAAACCTGATGCTATTCTACGGAATTTACCTGGCGGTGGAAATCAGATAAATACTTGCGTTGGTAGTCGTGTGGATTTAGATGTAAGACTTGTCGGAATAGAACCATTTACATTAACGTAAGGTTTTTCTAATCATGGGTACTTGTTAAATTCATTTATTGGAAAAGATTCTATTAATGAATTGGATTTTCTTTTATAGATATGATGTATTATATAACCAAAGGAAAAATGCCTTCACAATCGGTGATATTCAAGGTCCATACCACACTATTATGTCGCCACCATTTGAAAATCCGGGCACTTATACAGTGACACTAGAAAAAATTGTTGACGCTAAAGGATGCGGCAGAATTTTAGACACATCGAATGATATCATTGTTAACGTTATGAAAGAAAGGCCCACGGTTGGATTTAGAGCGACTAATGAAGCTCTAACTTTTCTTGAAGGTGATAGCATCGATCTACCATTACAACTCACTGGGAATCAACCATGGGAAATAACCTATCGTTATCTCGATGAAATCGATAAAAACGTGTCAGCTGTCCAATTACGAGATCCTAATTCCCATCTGGCTGTAAATCTACCGGGACGCTATGAATTATTAGAGGTTAAAGATCTTTATTGCTATGGCAAGGTGATTCCGGAGTTGAAATATATTGATGTTGCATGGATTCCACGACCAAATATGCATATAGTCGAAGGAGAAGCGATACAAATATCACAAGATTATTATCAACGAAAACATGTATGTGAAAAAACTGAAGATAGTATTGCTGTGAGGTTGCAAGGTCGGGCGCCTTGGGTGGTGAATTACAATATTCAAACAGATGGAGATTATCTACATAAACAAGAAATTATTGGAGGTTCTTTGACTCGTATTCCGCTTCTCACAGAGACACCCGGAAAACATCGATACGAGTTCTATGAAATTGCTGATGATGTCTATGTAAAGCCTCATCCAATGTCTTTAATGCTCGAACAGACAGTTATCAAAAATCCCAATGCTCGATTTTCTCATCCAACCGGTATAATCAACCACTGTGTTGGGCATGCGCTAAGTGAAGAAGATACGTCTTTAATAATAGAACTGGAAGGCGTGGCACCATTTACCATTTTATTTGAAATTAAACATCAAAGTAGTAACATAGCAGAAACTTTAACGATCGATGATATTTACGAAAAAAAATATAAATTCCAACCAAGGACGAAATTCTCAATGATCGGGAAGTATACAATTACCATACTTCACATTATAGACTCTCAAAATTGTAGTAGAATGCCAGAAGGTCCAGATAAACAAGTATTGGTAGAGGTTTCGGATGTTGCCTCAATCGAAAGACTCTTTCCTCAAGAAATTCATTGTGTCGGAGATTTGTTGGTTTATTCGTTGCAAGGCTCGTATTTTCAAATTTACTGTTCATCGCGTGTGCGCAAGTCTCAAGTAACCGAAAATTCTTTTTGCTTAATGAAACAGGAATTCCTCCATACTATATAACTTACACATATAATGGGGAAACGAAACATGCAATCTCGAAATCATCCGAATTCACATTTGGCGCTGACAAACCAGGCAATATGACAATCACCAAAGTATGCCACCAAAACGATATGTGTTGCGGTTACCCAACAGATCTTTCCGAGATAATATATGACCTTCCGACAGCAATTCTGTCTGAAGGAAAAGACATTATTTCGGATATACGTGAAGGAGATAAAACGGAAATCATTATTGAATTCATTGGTAAAAATATTTGCTAAATTTATAATTGATCTTTTTTGTTGAAATATATTTCGATCGCTGTATTTATTATTCCTTATTATAAAAAAGGTATACCGCCTTTTCGTTTTACATATACACGCAGTGCGATATTACCAGATGGGAAACGTGGAAAAGCTGGACCTGTCTTAGAAACTCAAACTGTATTAAACGTTCGAGAGAATATATACTCTATTTTCACGGCACAAGAAGGTTTTTAATTGTATAAGCTTAATGTTCTATTTTTTCTGTGTAACGTTTTCGTTAAACGTTCCTCTTATTTTTTTAAATAGGGATATTTCAAGTGACTTATATTGCCGATAAGTACTGTGAATATCCACGAGTTGCGAGTAAACATGGTTGAAACGCATAAAATATAAATGTAGATTTGCCAATTGAACAATTATAATGATTACTGTTTTGTATTCATCACAACTACGACTAATAATTATAATTTATTCGATTTATAAATTCCTCATATACTGGTTGTCAAATTCAATTTGCAT